TTGCAACATGATAATTCTCACTTTAGTCTAGTGATAATATACACACAGTTTTATATGCATGTGTTTTGTATGTTTTTGTTTATAAACTTCAGTTATGATTGTTGCTGTAAGATCAAAATGCTCTAATCACTTTTCTTCATAATGGTGTTATGCCCTATTTCATTAAACATTTTCATCCCAATGTCAAAGGGAATCTGAGAAAGGAGTTATCAAACTGCATTTATTTGACCTGTTTGTGGAATCTTTGTGATCACACCACAGATTGAATAATACAACATGTATGGTTTTGACTCAAATGCTCATATATTCCTTCCGGCTTACTAGAAATGATATACGTAGTGCATCAAATATCAGAGCATAAAATTCCAACATGGGTTTCCAATTACAAAGATTTCTAAGAAACACCCATGGAGTTGGAGACAGTGACTAACATATTGTGGTGTCTAAAAGTAACCATATTATGAAATAATATAATCACATTCCTAAAGATGAGGCCTTAAAGATTTTGATCAGAAACAGAATATTTTCCTGTAAATTTCTAATCATAAATACTGAGAAATGCAAATATTCTGCTCAGGTTACATGGTTGACCATTTGCTTACTTTACATAAAATGTGATTTCCAATTTATCACATTCCTCATGACAAGTAATTTGATGAGCATAAAGTCTCATAGTTCCCTGGTTCTCTATCTTCTCAACATTGTCAGCAGCTATGGCAATGTTAACCCAGTCTCCTTCAAGCTGTAAAACAACAAAGACAAAGAGAAGATAAGCGCAGGCATTGGGGTGGGAAGTGGTATTTGCTTCTCTGATCCCAGTCCTTGGAAATAAGTAAAATTACTGGAAATATGAATCAATAATATTTTCATTAGTACATGATTATGATTTTAGGTAAGTAGAATAACACAGGGTACTATGATGACTCAATTAACAAAGCATTTTAGACCTGGGACCTTGGGGAATTGCTCATGGTTTGGCCTCATTTGCTATTGAGGAACCTCAGACATGCTAGACGAAATTTATTTACCTCATTAAGAGAATGAGCCAGACCAACTGCCAAAGCCAGAAGCAGTATCTTTGCCATGGTGGTGCCTGCCTTGATCTTCTGCAGAAGGTAAAATTAGGTTATTAGTTTTGAAGGAACT